GGGCGGCGTCAGCGTCGATGCAGTGGGGGATTTTTCTGTGAATGGAGCGGAATTCAAGGGAAACGAGGGGTGGCATGGGGCCAATGTGTATTTGCTGTCGACTGTAGCCAGCTTCCGAGACACCACATTTTTAAATAGCCAGGGCATCTTTTTGGTAGCCGAGAACTCTCGTGATGATATTTTGGGGGAAGGCACCGCTATTTGGACTGCCAACAGCAATGTTAGCATCGATGAAAGCCGGTTCAATAACAATACCGCGGTTCTGGGGTCAGCCATTCTTGGTGCATCCAGCAACATTTCACTTCAGAACTGCGAAATTGAGGGGAGTGTGGACCGCTGGGCTGGGTGCATTACTCTTCTCAGCACCAGCAGAATAAATGCGACAGCATGCACATTTTCAGACAATGCCGCCACTGGCGCAGTGGGCTTGGATGGCCTGGGCGGTGTCATTACTGCCCCTGAAGGCGGCAAAGTCATTGCCAAATCTTGCCTCTTCAGAAATAACAGTGCATATGTCGGTGGAGCCGTTCTTGTGGAACGAGGGCAATCAGGAGACAACGGGGTGTTTGAGAACTGCACATTTCTTCGAAACACTGCAATATTTGGAGGAGGAGCCATAGCTGCAACTAAGGGTGCTGGATTCACTGTGGTTGATTCCACATTTGATGGCAACACTGCTGGGCTGCTGGGGGGGGCTGTGGATGTGGAAGCACCTCTGTCTGATGTACAGGCGGCTGTGGTACAGATAAGTGGTTCTACCTTCAGGGCAAACAGGGCTGGATTTCGCAATGAAGTAGATTCTCTCACGGGCAGCGGAGGCGCTGTGTTTTGCGGTGACCTTTCGCAATTTAACGTGCAAGGGGATCGGCTTGAAGGTGAGCAAATCCAGAATGTTGCTGCAGCAAAAGACGCGGCGGGGAATCTGACTTGCACTCTTCATGCGACAGAGTTTTCAGCAAACGCTGCAGGCCTGGGTGGCGCTATTAGTGGAGTTTTCGCAAACAACCTTTCTGTGGATTTTGTTGATTTCGTTGGAAACAGCGCAAACGACGGCGGGGCACTGTTCCTCAAGATGGGAGGCAGCAGGGATCCCCAGCCTCGTCGGTTGCCCAGCACGTATGTGAGTGGGGGCAACTTGTCCTTCGTCAGCAACCGCGCACTCAGGGGCGGCGCGATGTTCTCTGTGACGGATGTGTCGACAGCCGACTTGGTGCGGGGCTCGATATCCCCTGACAACGTGACGCGAACTAGGAGCGATGGATTGAGTGGCAACGAAGACGACATCTTCATGATGGACAGCAGGTTCAGGAGGAATGTCGCAAATGATTCCGGGGGGGCTTGGTACACTGAGAGGACTCGAGTGGGCTGCAGGAACTGCACTTTCGGAGGCAACCGTGCCAATTCTGCCGGTGGAGCAGTGTGCATCAGAAAGCAGTCAGCGCTGCATGTGAGAAACGTCACGTTTGCAGCAAATAACGCGCGTGTTGGAGGTGCACTGTCTGCAAGAAATTCTTTTGTGGACATTGTGGAGGCGATGGTGAATAACAATGCTGCGGAAGTTGAAGGAGGCGGTTTACACATTTCTGCGCTGGACAGCATTCCCTTCAGGTTCAACCTCGTGTCCCACGTGGGGAACGCGACGGTGATCGCAAACAGAGCGCCCGTTGGGGCTGGGATGTACTTCTTCGTGGAGGAGGATCTTCAGGAAACGAGGGATGCGGACGCTCAGAACATGGCGGTGACGGGAAGCGTGTTTGCAAACAACAATGCAGCGCTTGCTGGAGCAGCCCTGTTCACCAACAGACCAGATTTGTTGGGCGTTTGCTGTGCATGCAATCTGAGCAAGGCAACTTTTCCGCCGACACGACTGTTCGATGCGCTTCGTCGTGGCGTTGATAATATTTCCAAGGCTCCCCTTGTCGATGTGCTGACCAACCCGAACCCTTGTCCACAGAACTGGACCAACAACACTCTGTCAAGAGGGCGTCAAAGCGATGTCGTTGGCACGTTGGCGCGGTCAACGGAACTGTGCACAGCGGGTGGCGCCTGTGCCCGGGACGGCGCCCCCCTCAAGATTTTCAACCATGTCAGCGGCGAGGAACTGGAGACCATCGCAGTGCGGCTACTGGACTCGTTCAACAACACCGCGTTCGGACAACCGGGTGTGCAAGTGCGTGTCGAGCCCAACGGCTTCGGGATTTTGACGTCTGGGCAACTCATTGCTTCTTTGGGCACAATCACAAATCTCACGAGCATACGATTGCAGGCGGAGGTTGGAAAGACTCATTTTCTGAAGCTGTCTTTCAACACAAGCAACTTGCCCAGTAGGGACGTCGAGGTGGACGTTCGAGCGTGCATCCCCGGAGAGACGCCCTTCCGTAACGAGACCTGTTCGGCTTGCGAGAGCGGCCGGTACAGCTTCAGCCCCGACATGCTGTGCGCAAGGTGCCCAGAAAATGCCGAATGCCAAGGATCGACTGTGACGCCCCTGGATGGCTTCTGGCATTCTACCTCGAAGTCAACTGAACTGCACGAGTGCATCAATGAGAAATCATGTAGGACTGACAGAGCAACGATCCGACAAATAGACGGGAGATCAAGGAGCGATCTTCTAGCCGAACGGGCGAAGGTGGCCCACAGCAATGGCTCCCTTCTGGAATTCAGCAGAAACGACGAGTACCCACAGTGCGCGCCAGGGCATCATGGCGTTCTATGCGGCGCATGCGATGACACTCACGGCAAAGTGCGGTCAGGGAGTTGCATCAAATGCAGAGGCCGAGCGAGAAACGTGTTGTTCGCCTCGTTGTTGGCGTGTTGGGTCTTCGTTGTCGTTTCAGTGCTGGCGAGGAACGTGATTGCCGTCGTTTCTGACGACATCATCGCTTTGTCGGATGGAGGGGCGACCCAGCATTGGCCTGCGACAGTGAAACGGGAAAGTGCGCTGCCTAGAGAGTCCGCCGTCGCCAGGGATTCTGGCCTGCCCACAGAACCACCGAGACAGTTGTCGGGCAGCATCGCCTATTGGGTGCAGGGTGCGTCGCCCCCAGACGTCCGAGAAGGCAGGAGCTCAAAAAAGCGTCCCGACGACAGCTTTGTGAGGGAGATTCTGAGGAACAGAAACTACTCTTCTGACATTCTGAAGATAATAGTGAACTTCTTGCAGGTGACCGGAGTCGCTGTTTTCATCAATGCAGGATGGACGCGCTCTGTCTCCAGGGCATTGGGTATTGCTGACGCCACTACTTCGGGGGGCCAGGGGCTTTTTGCCTTTGAATGCGCCTTCAGCAGCGACTCCTCCATCCCACGGTCAACGCAGATGTTCATCGTCAGTCTGCTCTTTCCAGTCATGCTTCAAGCCGTCTTGATGACTTTGTCGGGAGTTTTTGCGCTGGCAACATCCAATCCTCTGGCTTACTTGTTGCGCCGTTGGCGTGTGAGTGCTCTGGTTGTCTTCTATTTTGTCTACATTGACATGGCCAGGAACATGGTGATTATTTTCGATTGTGCGACAGTAGATGAGGAGGATCAGCCCGATGGTCATGCAATCGCCAGGTCGCGCTATTGGGTGAGAGACACTGACACAATCTGTCGGGAGGGCGGCCACCTCACTCTGACGTTGGTGCTGGCAATTCCTGTGCTTGTGTTTGTGACATTTGGTTTCCCGTTTGCGCTGGTGCTGATATTCTCTGGGAGCCGTGAAAAGCTTGAGACGCCGGCCTTCTTGGGCACGTACGGCTTTCTCTACTGGTCCTACAGGCCTGGCAGCCGATACTGGGAGGCAGTCATCATGCTTCGCAAGGCCTGCCTGGCGGCCATCTCTGTGTTTGGCTTCTCTCTTCGCCCAAATTTGCAGGCGACACTGGCTGTTGGAGTGCTAATGATTGCTTCCTTTGCCCACCTGTGGGTACAGCCTTTTGTTACTTTGGGCCCCAATCTGCATCGCATGGAGGCCGTGTCGCTCTCATGTTCAATATTTGCCTACCTGACGGCACTGGTATTCAACGATCCAAACACGTCAGATGGCGGAAGGACAACTGTGTCCGTGGTTTTCATTGTCTTTGTCTTGGGCGTGCTGCTGTACTTGTTGGTGGAGTTGGTGTGGGAGGCTTGGAAGGCAGTCGAGGTGATATTGCGCAAGGCACAGATTGAGGTGGGCAAAGACATGTCAGTGCTGACGAAAGTCCGCCTCCTGTTGACAGTTCTCTGGATGAAGCTCACCTGCCACAGTTCCGAAGGGGACACAGATTCCCAGGCCGCATCGACCAATGGATTGCCTACTTGATGAGATTCTTTTCCCCTGTGTTTGCCACAGCTGCGGCCTTGCAGGCCTCTGGCGCTGGTCTCATGGTCGCCGAGTCCGCAAACAGTCGCGCATTGACGTATTGTTAGGGAGGAATGACAAGTTCAAGGACACAATGCCATTGGTATGGAAATGCAAATTGATGGCTGCGGATGCTGCCAAGATGCAGCGTGCACGTTGTGACTTTTGACTGGTTGGAAGCGCGGTAGCAATTGGGGGAGAATACATGACGTGGAGCTGTTGGTGTTTACAATGTCAGCAGTGGAATCGCCATGCATACGTAGATAGATAATCCTTTTCAAGTGGTGAGCGCATTGTTCAAGTCAAACAGATGCCTTTGTGCAGGTTTTTTGCAAGTCGCATGAATGCCAGTGTGTGCCAGACCGTGAAAGTGCTTTTATGTAATGCACACTGCCATGCAGATGCAATTGTTCACTTTCTTCTCCATGCATGCTGTCCGCATTCCGAAAGGCTCTGATGCACGGAGCAGCTGGATTTGCTTCACTGCACAATGCTCCTGCTGAACTGATCTGGCAGATCTTCTGGACACTGGGCGGATCCGGATCATCGCCCAATATCGGTACTGAATAGCTGTGTGGACGAACACAATGCTGTTATTCTAACGTTTGCCCTTGAACTCATCCTTGCAAAGAAAGGACGTGCTTGTGCAGATTTTCTCCAATCTGAAAAGTGTCGCAAACTAGCCACAACATGCATTCATTGATTCTGTGTGATACTCCTCGCACAAATTGTTGCTGTCAAAGACAGTATTCACGCATGCCTTATGCTTTGGTGCACAGAAGCACTGATCAGTGCTACAAACACTGCACCTGTCAACATTCTTCCAATGGCATTCAGGCGTGGTTGCAGCAACAGGAGAGGCAACAACACCTGTAGCGCTGCCAAGCAAGAGGCTTGGGACATCAATCATGCAGAACGTCTGGCCACACAATCGGCGAGCAGAAAAAATGGGCGGATGCAGGACGTAAATGCGTTCTGGATGCATGCACGCCCATCAGCACCTGGAAGGTGCAGTGGCACCGCTTTGTCTCGTCGAAGGAAACTTTCAAGACTTACAACACGTGCTTCTGGAATCCTAAAATACATCATGGCACACAAACTCTTTCCAGCAATAATTATCAGCAGCAGGCCCAGCAGCAAACCAGCTTCCCAGGCAGAGTACGGTCTCGCCTCATCCTTGCCTCCTCATCAGCGTTTCCCTGCAGCAATGCCGGTCAAGACGCCTCCGTGCCTTCCTCGTGTACACATATGCAGTCGTACAAGTTGCCCCCAAACAGGTTCTCCGCCACCCGACTCGTCTTGATCATCGCCAGCTTGAGCGCGTCGCACTTGAACCGCGCCTTGTAGTTCGTGTGCACGGCCCTCCCCATGCCCTCCACCACCACGAGGTCCGTGCCCGGCGTGGCGGCCGTCAGGCACCCCGACACGCACCTCAGATCGAGGCAGGGGCTCCCGGAGCCGCTCTCCACGACAAACAGCTTCGCCGTGGACTCTGTTACGCCAGCCGGCGACGCCGACGCCTGCGCATCAAAGCCCCCGTTGAGCGCAGCAAGAGGCACGGAGTGAAATGATATTCTACAGCGCGCTGCCACATACACAGTGCGATTCATTGAGTGCTTTCCGTTTGCCCTCTTTCCAAGGGGAGCGGACTATGGTTAGCAAATGCGCGATCCATCTGAAGCATGGGGTGGGGGGCGAAAGAGTCGCGACGTTAAGACGGCAGCACCACGAAAACACGGGCTAAATGTTAAAGGCTGTCCACGACGGGGCCTACTGCTCAACGGGGTGGACGCATTCATGCACGGTCGACGATCAACAATCCGCCCAAATTCAGAGCGCCGCACAATCGCCGTGATCACTCCCTGCCTGTCCCTTCGCCATTCCCACCCGCAGCGCATCGCGCACCTGCTCCCCGCTCCTCGCCATGACGTCTACGTCGCCTGCCCCAGCCACTCTTCCCTTCAGCCCCCCGTCGCCTGCCAGGGCCTCCTGATGCGGCGGCACCCTGCCGCCGTTGGCCTGCTGCGCCGCCCTCGCCGCGGCCAGCCCCCCCGCGACGATCCCACACTGCTGCGCCGCGCGCTCGACCACGGCGGCGATCTCGTCGGCGGTAATGTCGTTGATGGCGGGGCTAGTGTTCCCCACGAGGACGACGTCGCTGCCGCGGCGAAGGAGCTCGCGGGCGAAGGGCAGCATCCCCAGGACCATGTCCGCGCCGGCGTTGTCGACGAAGATCATGACGCGGCGGTAGGGGGGCCGGTCGCGGCCTGGGCGCAAGGAAAGGGTGGGTCAACACCACGCTGGGCACAGTGGGTGCGGGACTTGTGATTAGTACTTTGGCCTTGCACACAATGGACCTGAAAGGATGTCAATCGTGATGGGCACGCAGCAACAACCGCCGTTCCCGGCACCAATCGAGGACCGAAACCAGCGAGACAGCAATCAGTCCCGGCACCAATCGATGAGTCAAGCAATGAACTAGAAACCAATGAGTCAAACAATCGGTCATGAAGTTTATATTGAGCGCAAGGGCACGAAGGCAACAAGGCAGCCCCAGCCACCAATGTCGAGAGGTCAACTGTCCATCGACAAGTGTGATATCAGGCGGCGTTGGGCAGAAAAAGCGAGCAGTTAAGAGTACCAGCGGCAATCAAGGAATCTTGTATGCCTCGGAGAGGTTGTGGTAGCAGGCAATGAGTCAAAACCCAGGTGTCGACACCTTTCAGTTGCTGATGCAAGGAAATTGGCACTTGGCCAGGTATAGCCGAACCCTCTGAAAATGACAAAGTGGGAAGGCTGGGGGCGCAGTGGGGGCCTTCTATAAGACTCGCCAATAGTGCTTGCGAGTTCGACCCGCCAGCGATTAATTGTCTAGATTTTGGCGCCAAAGCTGCCGGGTTGCACGTACAATCCAACATGAGTGCATTCGTATGTTGACGTTGACTGCGGATTGAGCGGCGGATACAGTCACGCATGGCACATTACTCATCAGTCACAAGTATGTTGGCCTAGAACAATGCGATAACCCAACGAAGATGGGCAGCACATACGAAAGAAGAATCCGGGAAGCGGCAGCAACAGAGGGCTCAGACCAGGACATTGCGCCCACCGTATTTGAACCACTTCTCCTGCAGCGCATCGTAGTTGTCCACGCGCCACGGCCGCATGGACAGCCTCTCCCTGGCGTCCTGGTAGATCGAAAGTATGGTCCCTTCCTTGTACTTCTCAATGCACTCACGAGAGCCCCAGTCAAATATGTTTGCTGCCAGCACGCCCTGAACGATTGCCAAAAGACGCTGCTCTGGTGAAAGAGAGTCCAACTCCTTCAGCAGGTCCGGCAACACCTGCAGCGCCAAGTCGTTCTCCCTCTCCTTGTCCAGCCTAGGAGGGGCCCGGCAACTTTGTCAAGGTTTGGATGAGAATCCACTGCTAGTATTGCTGCACAAATCAGCTTTTGTATGGTGTTTAGCCAAAACGGTGGAGGCGCATGTCAATTGGCGCAATGATTCGTCGCAGTGCAAGCGAATCCAACTTGAACGTTGATGACGTGGGCCGTGGTTGGGCAGCCATGTCAATGTCCGCAGGTGGGTATTGACTCCTCAAATGGCAGTGGTATTCGTGAACAAAGTCCATACGCTGCAGCATGTCGCTTGGCGATGCCAGCACAAATTTGAAGCCCATACATGAAGTGTAAGAATGAAAGACAAACATCCTCCAAGTTGGCATTCGCAAATTCGTGTCCCATTAGAGACAGGGATAAGCGGACGCCCAAATACTGTGGCATTAGTGCGGTGTCCTTCAACGGCGACGCTGTGGTTATCAATGGCAATCATTGCGTGGCGTCGCGGTCGTCTTCTGACGTTCCACATCACGCAATGGTAGCCACAGACGGCCGCAACAAAAATTCTGGTGAGGATCGACCAATCATCGTCGTTTAATTCAATCACTACAATGGGGTGGCAAATTTCGGCGCGTGTTCTTGTCACCGGACACAAGCAGATAGATTCGTATTACTGAATGGGGGCGCGCCAATCTTGGCTCACTTGTACACATCCAAGAAGCCGAATTCTCTGAGGCAGAGCTCCCGCATTTCGAACAAGTCTCCGAGGCCCTTGACGCCGTAGGCTTTGGGCTCCTTTCGCAGCTTGGCGATGTGCGCTTTGAAGGCACAGGCGAAGGCGTGCGCCCGGCGCGTTGCCAGCTCGGTCTCGCCCTCGCTGGCGATGGCCTTTTCCACGATGGTGGGAATGTGTTCTTCCAGGATGTTGAGCCAGAACGTGCGCTCCTCTTCAGACTGGTTAATGTCGATGGTGCTAGGCTCGTATCTAAGAGCGCCAATGCAGGTGCCAATGCATGTCAGGTGTCGGCAGCCGCTCATTGGAGTCATTGGACTGCAGCAGCCAATGAGCGCTGCGCAGCAAGGACAGCATGGACAACTGTCAGTTGAAACTTTCGCGGCGGATGGTACCTCGCTGAGCGCCTCATCACGTAACAAGCGAATGGGTTTGGCAATTGATTCTGTAGTTGGGCTGAAAGGTGCACAGCAAACCCTACGCGCACTGCATGCAGCAGTCGAACAGCAGCGTGTAAGGCTCTGCAGAAAACGCAGGACGCATCGTGCACGTCGCTTTTACAGACGCCTGTCCCAAATAAACAATTCTGTCGAATTACAACATTTGCACATCCATCCCATGAAAAAAATCCCTCGAAAAGAATCCCGTCGCTCCTGATTGGGCCCAAGACTTACTCATCTGGGTCTGCCAGCAAGGGGAAGATCTGGTGTAACGGCTTCCAATGCAGCACGCCCACAAGCGGAGTCGACATGGGCCTTTCAAAGTCTCGGTCGCTCAAGCACGCCGACTTTGTGCCGTGCCTCCTCCCACAATCATCCAGCGCCGGGCCCGAGCCGCTGCTGCTGCTCGAAGACGACGACGCCCTTACCGCCTCAGTTCCCACGCGCACAAACTTCTCGACCCATGACACCTTCTCGTCAACGCCCCTGATGGCGGGGCCGTGCACGCCGCCCCCAACGAAGGGCGCCCCCATTGTGTACACCTCCTTGAAGCTGCCCCTCAGGGAGCCCACCCTTTCCAGTTCGCTGAACCTTGGTGTGATTGGGTGCACCTTCAGGAAAGCGCCCATGACACCCAGGAAGCCTTCGTGCCTCATGAACAGAGCCTCCATCTGGCCCTGGCGGTAGGCAAAAGAAACGCAACGTCAAATCATGCCTCCCATCGGGCTCCAGCTAGATTTCCATTCAATGCTGCCCATGCACATGGAGCGCGATTTATGGCTGCTGACCTGCTCAATTCTGTCCAAGAGGTACTTTCAGCATATTCTTGGTTTGCTAGGTGCATTGCCCATGTCAAGGACAACGAACTGAATAGCACCTCATAAGGCATCAAGATGAAGCCCCACCACTCTCATTTTAAGTCATGAACTCATAAGTTCATTCTGAGATTGCCAAATGATTACAGGAAACAAACCAATCCAGATATTTTTTGAGCCAAGCCTGTGCTGACTTGTGTTGTGGGGCCAGGCATCAACGGGTTTGGGTACCACCTCCTTAGGGAAATTAGAAGGCGCTAGATCTGTGGGAGTAGCACCAGGTAGTTTGGGGCTGGCCCAAGGAGAGGGCCAGCAGAGCCAGTAGAGGAAGGGCGAGGAAAGCAGGTAGGGGTTGAGGACCCCAGGAACGCTGGTGGGCTCACGGGTCCAGGGTGTTGTCCCAGTGGTAGGTAGTTGTGGGATAGCTGGGAGGAGCCAAAAAGGGATTTGATTAATGGTGAAGCGCATGTCAAGCTCATAGTAGGTGGACCAGACAGGTCAGAAAGAGGGCTTGCCTGATATGCTGTAATGTACGTGATAATATGATATGGTGTAACATGGTGCTTGTAAGTGTAGTTCTGATTCTCCCCCAACTGGGCAGGGCCTTTGGGGTCTCATGTTGTGTCTATCTCTTCCAGTTGGTGCATTGCGAGGAACTGCCTGAGGCTACACACTTGTGGTGAAGACATTAAAACTTGCCACCATGAGTAGGTCTGAAACAGCACCTGCTGAATCAACAGTACATGCAGTTACCTGTAAAGAAATGTGGCACCAACATTGAATTCCTCTGAAGATGCCCTTTGTTGCAGTGTCTGAGTCATGCCAACCGAGTCTGAGCCTAATTAACCTGATCCTCGTACACCATGAACAGAATGTACTCAAGCATTTCTCAGTGAGCTCAACTTGTCCTGATACTCATCCCACCTTTGACCAGAAGCGAATGGCATATGAAATCGTCTCCATTGTGTATGCATGGCCCCGTATGAAGAAGCCCCCAAAGATAACACGCCGCAGGTTGTATTGCTTGGCATTTGAATAGGCAAGGTGCCCAATGTTGTATGACACCATCCTGCATAGTGCCATAGCAATGTCGGCGGGGTTGTAATCTTCCAAGTCCCTGTCCTGTGCAGCAACCTTCCCAAAGCTGCTGGCAATGGTGTCCGCTGAAAGGCCAATTTGGGAATAGTCACGGCCACCATAGATATCACCCACAAGCATATCCACCTGCAGAAGGCAATCCGCTTTCACTGCATTAGTGGTACCACAAAAGAGTGCTTCCACTGTGCACAATCAGGACCGCAGCATCCACTTAGAGTCCACAGCACAAGAACCTTTCGACTCCATGCAGGACTGTTTACTCAGTTGGCTGATCAGGTGGCTGCTGAGGTGTCTGAGCTATGGTTACAAGCTCAGAAGCCCACAATACAACATAATAATCGCAGTGCGAAGATTCAACAAGGCACCAAGTGAGCAAGCATGTGTAACTTTGATGGTGTGTGAGGGTATGGGCATATTGCAATCCTAATTGACCAGAATGAGCACAGAGACACTGTACATTTGTGCTACACAAGTGGCAAGTAATATCATCCAGGCAAGGGTGTACAGTTCTACTTGGACTTACACATGCACCATCTTCTAGCAATTCATGCAGAGGTGGACTGTATCGAAGATGTCCAATCCCCAGTGTCTATCTGCCTGTGGCAATCCAAATCTACAAACCAGCGGAATATTTTTGCTTGCGTTGCATCGCAAACCAGTGTCCACGTATTTTGCATGCTCAGCTAACCGACTCTGGGAACAGCAGATGTCAACCAACAAAAACCCAAACTTGGCAGCTAAAACCCAAAACTTTTTCACTTGGTTCGTTACAACTTATAGGACCACTTCACAACACAGTTTATACTTCTGTGGGCAGCTTGCTGGCAGCCCAGCACAAGTTTGTTGCACACATCACCAGCCCAAGGAAACCTAAGGACGTACCCTGGGGGCATAACAGCAACCCACACAGTTGACAGCATGCAGCACCCATCATACAACCAATCATTCACTTGTGGACTACTGCAGTAAGCCTTGGTGGGACGTCTGCAGATGGAACTCCTGAGGGATGAATTGCTATAGTTTACAGCTCTTTCATTCATTACCTTGTGCCCAATCCTTCTTGGGAACTTGCATCCTCTTGCCCAGTCTTGTGAGATGGGAAAAAGTTCAGGTTTCAGCTAAGACAGGGGTGGTATCTACGCACTCAAGTGCGCTGACAAGCTTCCTCAACGGAAACAAGCACATTAGGATGATAATCGGGCCCCTGTGCTGCATCTCCATCACGTACAGCTTTATTGTCTCCCTTCATGCTCAGCTCCAGCATCTCATCAAAGCTCTTGACTTTGGTCAGCAATCGACATAAGCCCCAAAACGTGCCGCCCCCTAGACTGCTCCCGCTGACTCGTGTGCATTTGCCCTCCCCATCCACTTTGAGAATGCTGACCCCTGAACCAATGTTGACCAGAAGATATGGATACACCTCTGGCTCTGCAACACAGCACATTAAGAATCACTCTTGGCTTCGAACAACTTTCCCAAGTGCTCGTTCCCAAGTGCCGGCCTGACGAGGAACACAGAGTACTTTTCTTGGTATGCAGCATTATAGGATACTACTTTCTTTACTTGTACCCACAAGTGGACATCACCGGCCTCAATCAGCGTATGAGGCTCGTGGTCACTAACGATTCGTTACCAAGTGACTGACATATGCAAGTTGTACTGTTCCAAGTGTTCCAAGTGTTCCGATTGACAACAGCATCAGCGACCAAGCCACACAAGCCACCTGCGCACACAAGAATGACGTGACAAAGGCCACAGGAATGCCAATGGATGCTTCTGCACCCATCAGTGCCTGCAATTTCAAGGATTCTAGCATCATGCTTGCTGACAAAATGTAGTCCGGGGAATAACAGAGGCCACAGGAGACTGTGCACCCCTCACCGGTCAAGTGTCTATAAGATGCAGACCCATTGACAAAGGTGAAGACCTCATCGTTGATGGCATTCAGAAGGAAGTTGCAGCCAGCAACCAGGCACTCCATCTCATCCTCCTTCTGAAGCACAAGGCCCAATTTGTTGCAGAATTCATCAGAGAACTTGTGGGCGCCACCGCCTGTTGCAACGACGTGCATGTTGTGAACGGTGCCATCATCTCTGTGCACCTTGTTGTGAAGGCCTTTGGTTTCAATGAAGTCAAGCGCGTCCTGAACACGGCTCGTCTCGAATTTGACAAAGTGGAGACGGCCTGTCTTATGCCACAGCACATATCAGGGATCCAACAATGTTGCCCACTAAAGTTGCGTGAGAATGGAAGGGCTAGGACCGTGGAGCACCTTGGATAGGCCCACTGCATGTTTCACCCCAGGCTTCTATATCCGGTGAGAGTAGAAATAGAACCAGGACATGCCCACAATATCAACAACAGCTCCAAAAGAAGAAAATGCTTCCACTAATACTCCCATGAACATACCAACGTTTGGATACCAGGCTTGGGGCATCAATCATCTCACACTGTCTGACCACACAGGTGGCAAGCAGAAGAAAGGGCTGGATACAGGACATAAAACGTTCTTGGAAGAAAACACGTCCATCATCGCCAGCAAGGTGCACTACCACTCTTTGTCTTGTCAATGGCAATGTCAAGGGACAGGAGCCAACAACTGGATGGCACTACAATACCCTATTTCTGGGACGTTGGGCATGGGTATGGTGCAGAGTGGGAAAACAGACCAGCCATGGTAGTCTTGATTCCTCACAGTGCAGATCCTGCCATCACTTACCTCCCCGTCCATTCCCGGTGGTTGGCAAGCTGCCATCAGCTTTGGCCCCACGCTTCCAGTCAGGCGAGAAATAGAGCAGCTTTATGAGGGATCCCCCAATATCAACAGCAAAATGGTTCACGTAGTCTGCACTCTGGTATGGTAGCACAATGCTTGGTGCACTGCGGCGGACCCCTGCACAGGTGAATGCAGCAAATGCAAATCGTGCATCAGCCTCCCAAAAGGTTTGTAGAATCGCAGACTTCAGAAAATACAAAGACAGCACCGGGCAGCCACGGAATTGATCCACACGCCGACTAAATGGCACTCAAATCCCAAATGGTCAGGCCCCAGTGCACCCCGTTTCGTGGCCCCTTCAGCTTGAAACGGCGCATCGATGCCTGCTGATAGACGCGTATCCCGAAAGGCAGATGTTCTGGGGGCAGGCTAAATCCAGGTCGTTCGCGACGATCCAAGAAATGGGTGGCCAAACGATCCTGCGATTGCTGATTGATGGGTAACGAGACGACAGCAAAAGGGCGCGCCATGCACTCGATTCCCCGTGGTTCAGCGGCTGTTTTGCATATCAATTGAAGGTCGAGCATGGCCTGCATTAACGGGACAACTACGCCGCACCCCGGACGGCAACAAGTCCGGCAATTCAGGCACGCGCACCCTTGTTGCTCTCGCCGATCGCCGCGTCTTTGAAATCGAGAGCACTGCCGTCCCCCACACCCGAAAAAGGGGTTTCCAGGCTGCGCTGCACGGGGAGGTGCTGGCCTCGAAAAGCGGGTAGGGCCGCTGGGAGGCCAGACTTGCCCATCTGACCGGCCGAAAAATGGGCGTGTTTGCGGCCCGATGGTGCTGGCAAATCCTACACCAGGGTCCCTGCACTGGGTGTCACATCATGCGGGGGTTGCGCTGCTGCCATGCTCATGAATTATGCGTTGCCTTGAAAACGACAAGCACCAGCTAGAGCACCCTCTTCGACACTTGGAAGGCCACACTCGACACTGCGACCGTGTGAGCTTTGTTCGTAGCCATTATGCAACCGTAACCACTGTGACCGATTATTCGTTACCATTAACCATTATGCGACAATTTCGAGAGTCACGTACTCTCCAACCCCGCCCTGTCGGGTATCTGACATGACGTATACGGTAGGAAGTCCGTATGTCCGTAAGTCGATATGGAAGTCCGTGCTGAAGGGGGTTCGCCCGACATATGGACAATGCGTATTGCAGTGCATCTTTGCCTGCCCCTCAGCGGAAACGCGGTGCCTTCAATGCTGCAACTGACCCTCAAGCGCACTCAGAGTTGTGAGCAGCCACAAGGCCCTTGCGTTGCGCAAACCCAAGAGC